CCTAATTTAGACATATTCTAATATATATCTAATTTTTTTTTTTTAAAGTTGCATACTGCAGCTTTAAGTAGAAGTTCTGTGTGACAGTTCACTGTCCGGTGGAGGTTGAGCGGCGCTACGTCTGAAATATTACTACCAGTAGCGGCGGTTCAAGAGCGAGAGCAAAACCAGCGTCTTACACCGTTAGCTCGAAGACTTAAATTATTTTTTGGGATTTTTGTTTAGCTTTCTGACTGTGATGCTAATCTGGGTGAGTGTTGGTAGTTGTGTGCTGCTTTACCTGTTGTCTGGCTGCTCTGGATCTCCTTTTTTCCTTCAGTGGGCCTTGATGTACGCAAACTCCATCAACTGCTTGTTTTTTACATGTCATATTAGATTCGGTTTGTTGATATATTTTGACCCACTTCACCCCCGAGGTAATTTTCTGCCGCAACACGCAAATGTCCCCACTCACTCTCAGAGAATTATAGTTCCACACAACAGGATTTTTTGCCGCCTGCTTGCGCAGTGCGAAGGAAAGAGGAGATCAGCTGCACACGCAGGATGCAAAGTGAGATCAATGTGAAAGCTTTTGATGATCGGCCACAAGAGACGTGACCGGCAATCACTGATCATACACTTTTTCACAGAAATCAGTCAATTATTATTGGTGGCTGATCGATTGGCACACCTCTAATTTAAGCCAATCTACACTATTTCTCTGTCATATGATCACAATCAGGTTCCAATGTAATCCCTTTAAAACACAACTCAGACCATGTTATTTAAATTAAATTTCAATTGACTTATTGATTTTACAAAATGATATGTCAGTTTACAACAAATGTCATCTCAAGGTACTTTACAAAACAACAAAACCAGTTTATGTACAGAAATATCTAATTAATTAAATTGTACAGATATATCTCTAAGTCAGCTACATCTGTTCCAGTTGATCATCGTTATCAACAATACAGTCAGGGTCAGTTTTTTCAATTTGATTAAAATGTTTTCTATGTAAGGAATATTGTAAATATTGGCCGATTGTAAAGTGGACATTTCTTTTTTAAATTCACAGAATAATTAGAGCGGTAAAGGCAGTAGCAGCTCAGCGCCTCCAGGAAGTTGTCCTAGTTAAACTGAAATGATGATTACTCACTTGCTGAAAGTTTTCCTAAGAACAAATAATTTCAAAACTAGAACCTTTCTTGTTTTTCTCTTCACAGATCTAAATGGATAAAACGTCCCGCAAAATTTCGAACCAGGACATAAACCCCTGCTTAGAA